AACAATAACGTTACCACTCTAATATGTCTTGCAATATCCGTGCGTGCAAAGGTTCTGCGCGATCCTCTTGTTCAATATTCTCTGGGTCTGAATCCGGCTCAAATTGATATGGAAATATTGACGCCATCCTTAACTAAACTTGCTGCTTTGGCAAGGGGTGGGGCAGTACTGAAACACCATCTAAACTGTTCGCCAATCACAACGCACTGGGATAGCTAACCAATCACATCACATTTCATTTTTCGGAAGGACGTTCATCAAACCCGGAACTAATCGAGCCGTTTATGCCAGACTGGGGAGAAAGGTGTTGTAATAATGTAAATTATGTGAAAAATAATGCGTTTTTCGAACCACCAAGCATGAGAGCATGTTCTAGTACACCCCCAAAACAAAATCAAGACATTGTAAAAGAGCATAATAGGACTCCTTTAAATAAGACAAGTAAATATAAAAAAATATATATTTTTAATATATATTTTAACAAAAAATATTTTGTATATGTATTATAGCTAATTTAATGTGTTAATTATATTTATATATAAACACTTTTCCGTGTAATACTTCCTGATAATTTACTCACCCCCATGTCATCCAAGATGTTCATGTCTTTCTTTCTTCAGTCAAAAAGAAATTAAGGTTTTTGAGGAAAACATTCCAGGATTTTTCTTCATATAGTGGACTTCAGTGGGGATCAGTGGGTTGAAGGTACAAACTGCAGTTTCAATGCAGCTTCAAAGGGTTCTACACGATCCCAGTCTAGGAAAAAAAATCTTATCTAGCAAAATGATTGGTCGTTTTCTGAAAAAATACAAATTTACATACTTTTTAACCACAAATGCCTGTCTTGCTCTAGCTCGACCTCACGCATTACATAATCACGTTGGAAAGGTCATGTGTGACGTCAGCGGAAGTACTGACCCAGTGTTTACAATGCGAACATGCAAAGAAAGTCAAATGCCCTTTACAAAAAAAAAAGGTAAAACAATTATGTTGGATGATTTTGAAGTTGGAGGAGAAAATTAGATTAAGTTTTTCGCCCTACCCTGCCTTTTTGAACTAAAGTACAGACAAAAAACTAAACATGCTTGAATTTTTCAGCATGATTACGTAATGCATGAAGACATGCATCGCAGAGCTAGTGCAAGATGAGCAGTTGTGATTGTGTAGAGCCCTTTGAAGCTGCACTGAAACTGCAGTTTGTACCTTCAACCCGTTGATCCCCATTGAAGTCCATTATGTTTTCCTCAAAAATCTTCATTTCTTTTCGACGGAAGAAAGAATGTCATGAACATCTTGGATGACATGGGGTGAGTAAATTATCAGGATTTTTTTATTCTGGAAGTGAACTAGTCCTTTAACATGTAAAATTGACAACCCTAATTAAAAAAAATATTTGCAAAAGCTCCTAACACATCCTAACAGTGACTAAGAATGGAAACAGCCTCACTGGTTTTTAAAATGACATTTTGAGCTCTTGAATGTAGCACTTGTTGGATTCTGTATAACATTCCACTGGTTAAAATCAGAAGTGTTTCATTCCCTCCTAATTGTTCTGAGTTCAGCTCGACCTCATTGATCTGACACATAGTTGAGTCCAGGAATGTATCGCGCAAGGCAAGGCTCCTGCCGTCCACAGCTGGGCGGAGCTGCTCGAGATCTCCACTGAGTTATTTTAGAGGCTGGACCCTGCCAAGCAAGCGTGGTCACTGAAAGGCCACAATTTCTGAAACACCGATTCAGAGCCAGTCTCTCCCACGCACACTGAACCCTGAATTGGACAAAAAGGTGTAGAGCTATTTAGACATATTTGGGAAGTTATTGAGTTTGAGATCTGACTTAGAGCAACTGCTGGTTCATAGTGAAAAGAAATGTGAAGCATTATTATTTTTCATGGGTTTTCAGTCGGTCGTAGTAAATGTTTCAATGTAGGTGGTTTTACAAATCATCAAAACAGCTTTACACATAAAGAAATTAAGATTTCTGAGTGCACATTTAAAGAAAAACAAGGTTAATTTCACAGTAAAAGAAAAACAAATTTGATTATTGGAGTATGTTTGACAAGAACATACTGTTTCAGTCTTTCTACTTCACTGTCTTCGACACTTCACTGTCGTTTCTTTGTACTGTAACTGTTTACTGATTGTAAAAATTGTTTTGACACCAGTTTTATTTTTTTTCAGTGTTCTTAGTGTTAAACCTGGATCAAACCCTAGTTTTGAAATCAGAACCTTTCTGTGATCCGCAAATGTATCCTTAAATTGTTGTTTTTATGAAAGAACATCCTCTTGGCATGCAGTTTGTTCTCTTTTGGTTGTGAGAAACGTATCATCTAAAACAACTTCTGGACAGAAGTACCAGTGACTGACTGAAATTCATATCCGTCTGTATGAAGTCATTAATGTGGCCTCCACCGCAGACCCAGAGTCAGACAAACTCGCTTGACCACCTATTCTTTCCATGTCTCTTTTCTACTCCCTCTTTACGTTTTTGCTGCAACTCTTTCATTATCATACTTTTTGTCTGTTTATGTTTCTCTCTTTGTCTTTCTCACTCTCTCTTCCCACTGGGTAAAATGATTCACTATCTTGGTGGGTTTTTGTAGCTCATGTCTTGTCGCTGACCGCAGCATGCCATAATAATACACTGATTTCTCTCCTCTTTTCATTTGGTTAAGAGTTGAAAATTCTAAGTTCTCTGTCATATACCATAAAGCCAATAACATTGTATTAAATTACATAATATTGAGTCACAGTGGAAAAATTGTTTAAGTCAGCCCAGGCCATAAAAAGAGATAATTCCACGTGAGTGTGCAGTCCTCAGCAGAAATATGGGATAGCACTGTATCATTAAATACCAGTCTGCAGATTTCCACTTCTGTGGGCATTTTTGTGTGTGAAAGTCATTCAACGGTGCTGCTTTTCTGGAATAGGATCCTCATATATAAGCAGCAGTGCTGCACTGATCTAGCAACAAATCCTTCAGTATGCTACAGTTCTGCAATGTAACAATGAGTGAACATTAGGCCTCCTTCATGAAACATAGGCATGTAAATGTCAGTTTGTACAATTATTCTTATGTAAATGGTCATATTGAATTGAATGGAACAATACAAGTTACAGTGGTTTTACTAATGACTTACACATTTGTTCTGTTAGTGTTTGTATTTCTAGAAAAACATGCAATATCCTTTGCATATGAATGTGACCATTGTTTTTCTGTCTATTATTACTTAACATGATAATAATAATAATAATAAAATGAATAATAAAAATACTATAAATAATAACAATAATAATAATAAAATGAATAATAAAAAGCATATACAGTGGTGTGAAAAAGTGTTGCAAAAAATAAGAAACCAGGAAGGGGGCCAACACTTTTTCACACCACTGTAAATAATAATAATAATAATAATGATGATGATGATAATAATAATAATAATAATAATAATAGAAGTTATTATTATTATTAACAATAATAATAATAATTGGAACTACTTCATACCTATGTTTGAAGAAAAATGTATTATAATTTATTATAAATAATAATAGTAATAAATAATAATAATAATTATTATTATTATTATCATCATCATTGTCATTATTATCATCATTATTATTATTTGCCATGTTATAATTTATTATATTCCCTTATATATAATTCATATAATTCATCATAACAAATAATACAAATAATGAAATTAATAATAAAAATCATATAATAATAATAATAATAATAATGATGATTATTATAATTATTATTATAAAATGAATAATAAAAACCATATAAATAAATAAATAATAGAAGTTGCTATTAATAATAATAATAATAATAATAATGGTTTATTTATTGATCTTTGCACATATAGCTATGAGGTCATTCAGTTCTGACCACAAATTTATAATACAACTCGGAGTAGGATTTTGAACCAATGAGATTTCATTTTGGATGGAAAAGCCAGGGGCTACAAATTAGAAACCAAGCAACAGTTGTCGTTTTCATTCATTTCTTGTGGCAAGTTAGGAGAAACACTCTGACACTTTTGTAGTTACTGTAAATCTCTAATTCTGAAATTTCAAAGATGAAATTCTCCTTCTGATGTTCAGGGCGTCTCCATGACCCAGAGGATCAGCCCATGCTCCAGTTTAGCTAGCAGCACAGCATCGCCCCCTCCTGGCAGCCCCTGCTCCACGTTACCCGCTGGAGCCCCGGGTAACATGGGCACCAGAGACTGTGCTTACGGTTCCATCACGAGTCCCACCTCCACCCTGGAGAGCCGAGACAGCGGCATTATAGGTCAGAGACTTTCTGTGGCTTGTTTTAGTAACAGAAATAAATGCTAATCATTGATGTACATATACAAAAATGACAGTTGAAAAATGTCCCTGTTTCAAATCTCCCATTGCTTTCTTGCAGCAACGCTCACGAGTTACTCAGAGAATGCCGAGCACGGAGGAAAACACAGCGAGGGCTCGCGGGGCAGCCTCAAACTCTGGCAGGCGCAGAAGTCAATGGGTGCAGACTCCTTTCTTTATCGGGTGGATGAAAACATGGCCGCCTCCACATACAGCCTCAACAAAATCCCAGAGAGGAGTCTGGAGCATTCCATCTCTCACTCCGCCCACTCCATCCCCCTCTACCTCATGCCCCGCCCCAACTCTGTGGCCGGTAAGTTTCCACACCTGTCCGTGTTTCCATTTATGGCTATCTTCAGAATATTGTATGAATATGTCAGAATACTGTACAGTATGTCTAAGTATTATATGAAATATCAGTGTGCAGTATGCATACTGTATAATTATTAACAATTTGTATTCAACTTTTGGCAGTCGAGTCAATGAGTCAAGAAAGACACTGAAATCACACTTGATAATGTGTCCAGTTCATTTGTCTCATTGCAAACTGTGTTATCCAGTGTGTCTGTCAAATTTTGGCAATTATAGTTAAAAAATTGCATGCTATAGTATATGTGCATACTGCCAAAATAGTACTAGTAGTATAATGGCGCTTTTCCACTGCGTGGTACGACTCGGCTCGGTACGGCTCAGTACGGCACAGCACGGTTCGGCTCGGCACGGTTTGCGTTTCCACTGCAGTTCAGTACCGCTTTAGAGTGGGCGGGATTATTCACATGTCGTTATAGTTGCGCCGCCTCTACTACCACGACTCCTAAAAAAAACATTTTCATTCCGCATCGCCCCATCAAGCTCTCACTGGATCCGCTCCTCTGCTATCAACGAGAGGAACGTCTGTACTTCCGCAACAGACAACAAAACTTTTTGGTTGTTAAAAAAAAGGTGCGCTCGTTCAAAACAGTTGCGTTCAGTCCTTCGCTGGTTGTGTTGATTTAAATCTAGCGGTTCCATTGTGTTCAGTGGCAAGTTCGCAAGTTCAGTGACGCAGATAGTGACGATTCTCTCCGGCTAATCCGTGATCAGCAGAGTTTACACGTCACGTTTTGGTAACGGTACGGTTCACTTGGAACCTCAACCGAGGTGGTACTAAAAAAAGTACCAGGTACTGTACCCAGTGGAAAACCCCCAAAAGTGAACCGTACCGAGCCGTACCGTGCCGTACCATGAAGTGGAAAAGCGCCATAAGTAGTGTGCCAGTCGAAACATACCTTGTTAGAATAGATTAGATTCAACTTTGCCACTGTGCAGAGTACAGTACAAAGCCAATGAATAATAGAAGCATCTAACCAATATAAATTTAAATGTAGAAATAAACGTAATATAGAAATGTATAAATAATTTAATTGTTCATATAAATATTAATTCTCAAATTATAAATAAATAAATGTATAATATAATATAATATAATAATGCATCTAGAATGAAAATAAAACTGAATTAATGTGACCATAATTTGTTTAGCCTACAGTTAGTCTATACTATATTACATATACTAAATATAGTTATAGTTTAGGCTACTTAACAATGTTACATCATATTCTTTACAACATTATTATTATTGTTGTTGTTGTTGTTGTTGTTATTATTGCTGTTGATATGGTTATAAAGAATGATAAAAAATATAATTTGTTAACCTTATTGTAGGCTGCATAAATAATCAAATTATGGTCACATGAATTAAATGATTAAGCATGTGTTGCTATCCATTTTATAAACATTCAATTTACTTTATCATGCCAATTTCTTCTAGAATATATGTGCCTATACCTACATTGCTTTGCTTCCTTTGAGTCATTTCAGTAACTCCGTTTCAGTCGTTTCATTTCAGTTGTTATTTAACCCTAGATTAACTGTAAAATGGCAGAAACCTGCATATTATGCTGAGCTAGTCAAGACTCAGCCCAGCATTCAAATCCTGTTCGCTACAAACAGTCACATTCATCTTTCACCGCATGTGAATATTTGGAGTCAGCTCTGTGTGAAACTCATTCAGCTGAGGCTCTTTGAACACTTCTGTTCATGAATGGTGAACTGCGGAGACAGGAAATATCCCACATAATCCAGACCCTAAAAGTCAACAGACACGTGTTTCCAATTCCCTTAAAATGTCAAGGTCAGTAAAAGCACATAGCGATTACTGTGAGAGCTATAGAAGTGGCCCTCTTCTCAGCTTTATGGGCCATTTAAACTCTGGAGCAGCTTCTAGCTCCTGATGCTGCCCCGTTACAACAAAGCAAGGACGTCTGCGTGAATCTCCTCCAGGTTTTATGAAGGATTTGTGATTTGTGCTGCTGGTTTTGGATCCACATGTGAGAAAATAGTATCAAACTCAGTCGCTCAGTTTTAAGTACTGTAGATTTATTTTTTTTTACTGTCAGCTTTGGATTTTTGAAGGTTTGCTATAAGAAATTTCCAATATAAAGTAAATTAAATGTTTATAAAATGAATATTTCTACCTCTAAAGTCTGATTGAATAATGCAAGCTTTATTTAATTAATGTGACCATCACTTGTTTATTTACTCAGCCTATACAGTTAGGTTAACAAACTATATTGCTTAATGTTTATCATTCTTTATAATTAGCGTAACAACAACAGCAATAATAATAATAAGAAGAAGAATTTTACATAAAACAATAATAATTTTATTTATTTTTATTTTATTTTTTCAATTCAGTTCAATCCATTAGTATAAAGGTGTAAAGTCAGTCAATCAGATTAGAGTTTATCAGATCAAGAAAATATGCAGACAGTATCCAGGTTTCCACCTATTATAGTTAGGCAAATTTTGGGATATCGTAGAAAAAAGTTATTATTATTATTCATATTAGTATTATTATTATTAATAATAATAATAATAATAATAATAATAATAATTTGAGAATTATTGTTCATATTAATAATTCATTTATTTTTATTTATCTATTTATCTTTGAACATATGGTTAGGAAGTTGTTTATTTTAATCAATTCACCTGTCTTTCTGAATTTTCAAAGTTTCAAATTAACATAACTTCAAAGTGGCATGCAAAAAAAGTATAAAAAGCATGCACGTTAGTGAAGTGAAGGCCGCTGGCATCAGCACTGAGTGAATGACGTGATCTATTTGTCTTTTTTCCTACTCTCCTCACCTCTCTCTCATGCTTTCTCTCTCCCCCTGATTTTCTTTCTTACTCATGCATGCTCGCCTCTCACGCTTTTCCTGTCTTTCACTCTCTTCCCTCTTTTCATTTCTTTCTCTTTCTCTCCTTATCCCACCCACTCATTCCTTCACCTCCTCTGTGTGTCTCTCTGTTTGTCTTTCATTCCATCTTCCCCTTTCAAAACCTGTCTGATCTCTGAGTTCAAGATGCATTTGATTATTCTTTTGAACAGAAAGACTGGTATGAGTTTTGACATGTTCTCCTGTGTGCACTTCCTGTCGCATATACACACATTCACCTTCACATATGTACATAAAAACATAGATATGTATAAGTAGATGCCTTATTAGTGGCTGTTTCATGATGAAATTTTTCGCCCCAAATCGCGTGGATTCCTTTTGAAATGTCTGGATTTTGTCCGTGACCATTCACCAAACAAAGGTAAATGTGACCGCATCTTAAGCCTTTTTTTAAGGTGGAAATTGCTAGTCTGATCACCTAGTAAAGCATACGTTATTATATTATGTTTATCTTCCATAGTATTTTGTAAGGACACCAACAGAAACCAAGTTTAGAGATAAGTAGATGTGCACATGTTCAGACGTTTGGTGTAAAATGCAGACGTGCCTTCTGGACCAGTTGATGGGAGCCCAAGTCATTGTGACACATTTCAAGCGGCTGTAAATCCAGCAACACAGTCATGCCAGCCAGACAGTCTGCAGTGCAGATGGAGGTGGTGGGGTTGGGCAGGAGAAATAATGGTGTCTAGGATATTTTTTACATTTTACAATGATAACCATAGTTTTTGCCAATATACAGTTAACGGTGTATGTGGTCTCATAAGGCCTGTTCACAAAAGGAACGATGCCTATAAAGATAACAATAACTATATAAGCATCCACACCAACAGACAATAATGTTCTGTTTATTTTTAGCATATGGTGCGGTTATGTAGTCTGCTTGGTCAATTGGGTGAATTCTGATTGGTCAATGTTTTTATCGTTCATCAGCTAGAAAACAATTGCTCTGTAAGTGATTAGCGTTCCTCTTTGTCATTATCGTTTTATCACTGTGTGGTGTTTACTATTCTGATTATTAAAACTTTATAATGATCATCTTTGGTGTGAACAGGTCTTTACACTGACGGAGATTCGATCTTAATTTATTATGGATTTACAGTAGTAACATATAGCTGCCGAATTTTGACATCTTTCCCAGCTTTTGCAAACTTTGTCATTGATAGAGTGCTGCAGCTGTGACATCAAAACCCAGAAGACTATTTCGACACTGGTTCCTTCGAGATTTTCCTAAGGGTTTTTATATATATATTTTTAAATAAGAACTGTGGTAAACATAGCTTGACGATACTTTGACGTTTTTTTCAACGTTCTTATGTAGTTACGTATTAGAAACATACGTTTTATAATATAAACGTAACTGCTTTAAAATGAGTGTTTTACAGTATAGGTATGTGTAATTCACGTTGTAGAGCAAAACGTCAAAGTATCATCAAGTTATGTTTACCACAGACCTTATTTTACTCATGAGTTGTATGAAAACCAATAGGAAAATCTCAAAGGAACCACTGGCCAATTAGTTTTCCAGGTTTTGACGTCAATGCTGCAGTTCTCTAAAGTTCCCGCTCAAACGTGATGTTCTCTTAGGGGAGGTTTAAATTACTAAACTGTTGTTCCCCACATGTAACCAACAGGAAGTTGTCATTTGTACACATGTACCATGGGGCCATGGATGGTTTTCTGAAATCCGTCTTCGATTAAACACATTAGCACAGAAGGAAAGGCTTTCCTTAGGATGTGGCACCTTGCTTTGATGGTGGCCACTTGTCCATAACACCAGTGCTAACACTGCAACAATAATGTTAGCTGTTGTTAAATAGTTTCAAAAGCTCTCTCCAGCTGCTTTGAGGTGAGATCAATTCAGTGGCCACCCACTGTGTTCTTAATACTCTTGTGTATCAAGCCGCCATGAACTTTCCTCCTCATTAGCAAAGAAAAAAGGGGCTCAAAATTCATGCACGAATTTTCATGAAAGCTAATAACAACAAGCTAAGCAAACACAAGCTCTGATAGAGTTCGTCAAAGGGTTTGACTCATCACTAACAGCAAATAGAACCATGGTATTACCATGTTTTTGATAGTACCCATAATATCACTGTTTTCTTAGGAAATGCCTTGTAAAATAGCTTGGAGTAGCATGTTGTATCAAGTCATTTTGAGTAAAAACTTGTGCCCTTACAAAAATTAACCATGGTTTTACTACAAATAAAACCTAAATAAACGTAGTTAATACAGTTAAACCACAAATTAACTGTTGTTTTGCAACACTGACCATATTTTAACCATGGTATATGTAGTAAAACTGTGGTTATACAAATGATAACCAATCCACCAAAAAACATTGTTTTTACTTCTATAATCATTTACGAACATAGTGTATATTCAGATACAATCTTATATTATTTTTACCATGGTAAATATGAGACAAATGAACTGGACACATTATCAAGTGTAATTTCAGTGTCTTTCTTGACTCATTGACTCGACTGCCAAAAGTTTAATAAAAATGGTTAATAATTATACAGTATGCATACTGCACACTGATATTTCATATAATAATTAGACATAATGTACAGTATTCTGACATATTCATACAGTATTCTGAAGCTAGCCATAAATGGAAACACCGGCAGTTGGTTTATTAAACAAAAATACTATGTTAGATTTACTTCGTAGCTGAAGTTGAGAGTTGATTAATTTCAGGTGAAGTTAAACTGACAGCACACTTATGAATGCTGTTGAAAACTTTCTCTGATTTTGGAACAACAAGCTCCTTCTGGAACCGGTTTGCCAGAATATGTTTGCTTCTTTTTAATAGCTTCACTTCATTTGCTTGGCTGCTGAAATGAGGAAATGCATAATAAATGGTTTCTGTTTTTCACTGTTATTGTTGTGTATTCTCCCTCTGTTGAATATGTATGTGGGTGGCATGAGTTTAAATAGAGTTTGTCAATCTCTCTCTCTCACTCTATTTCTCAATTTTCAATTTAAATTCAGAATTTATTTCAGTGTTCAATTTCAACTTTAATTAGTACTTTATTGACATGAATATTTTAAATATAATATCGCCCAAGCGTCAATGCACACACAAAAAAGGGGGGAAAAAAAGAGTCATTTTTAAAGAATATAAAAAATGTCATATTAATCTAATATTGAAAATGTTAAACTATATTTTTAAAATATTAAAAGTAGCCTGAATTCCCCCTCTCTTTCACAGCCACTAGTTCAGCTCACCTGGAGGATCTTGCGTATCTGGATGAGCAGAGACAGGCTCCACTGCGCACGTCTTTGCGTATGCCACGACAAAACTCCAGTTCCAGCCGTTCTGGACAAGCTGACATGAGAGGTGTGTATATTTTTCCTAGATTTATTAAATGTCCACTCTTCAATCCTTTCACTTCACCCACCACCTTGTGTATATTACCAGTCACAAGTGTAGACAGACCTACTCATTCTATGTCAAGTCTAAGTCGAGTCACATTTATTTGTATAGCAATTTATACAATACGGATTGTTTCAAAGCAGCTTTAAATAGCAGTATTGTTTAAAGGTTCTTCAATTATGAAACAAATACAATTTTAGCTGTAAAGCAGCTCTAAAAAGACAATAGTGTCATTAATCAGCTCAATTTAGTTCAATAGCAGTGTGATTGCAAAGTTCATTAGTTATGAAGCAAACTATAAAGCAGCTCTATAAGATAATAACACAAAGATAAATAAGTATGGAAATTATTTATTGACCAAAAAATGTAAATCCAAACAAAATTATATTTGATTTTTTTTTTTAAATAGCCATCCTTTGTCTAGATTCCAGCTCAGCACATTTAGGAGGTCTTTTTAAATAGTATTGAAGGGTTTCAGATGTAGCTTATATTGAATATTTGTTGGCTGCTTTTCTCTCACTTCCTGCTCCAACCAGATTTTTTTTTAAAAGAAGGAAAAAGTCATAAATTATATATTTTCATAACTCCAGAAGCCTTTAGATCAGCAGTCTTTTCATGCAAAACATAAATTCAGTCATATCAGCTTGCTGGGGGTGTTGCTACTCATTTTACACACAAAGTGAAAAGCCAATCATAACAGCTGTCGTTTACATATAAGGTGCTGTAGAAATATAGCCAGCTTAGTCTGAGAGAGGGTAGAAAATGGTCATTTAAATCTCAATTATGACTGATTTTGGTGATTTTGAATTACCGAAATAAATGAACTTTTCCATGACATTCTAATTTATTGAGATGCACCTGTATAAGTGGACTCTAGGGGAAACAAAAATAGAATTCTACAAAATAATAGAATATGTCCCTTCTAAAATTTACCTTTGCAATGTAATGACGTCTGTGTGTGTGTGTGTCTTGCCTCTCGTACATCTGCCCTCCGCTACACACAGCATGTCCCATTAAAACCCTCAACACACTCCGCAGCTCTTCCGTGGATCACTCTCCCCCCTCGTCCTGCTGTTCTCGGTTTCCCCTTTGGACTGCCGTGCCATAATCTGTCTCCTGTCCAGATCAATGTATTGACTTCCTATTAGCATTAGCTCTGGCTCATCTGTCAGAGCTCGGCCTGCTGTCTAAAGCTCACAGTCAAGGCTCCACACATCCTAAATCATGCTGGCTGGGAGCGAGCCTCGGAGGTCTGGGTTTCCTCTCAGATTCAGTCAGAAATCCAATAGCTTGAGTCGCAATTCACCAAATAACCTGTATATTTCAGGATGATCGCACAGGTGACAAAACAGTGGAGGTAGACTGTATCTGTGTGCTTATTCATACACCCTTTTCACATTCCTGGTGTTCTCAGAAGCAGATGTCATGATAGTTGGGTAAACGTCTATAGTATGGTGAAGGAAAACTACAACAAATATCGGTAACACTTTATTTTAAGGTGTCCTTTTTATACATATTACATCTACTTACTATTATAATAACAACTAATTATGCATAATTACATACAAGTAACCCTAAGCCAAACCCTAATCCTATCCACATATAGTAAGTGCATGTAGTTAATTAATATTACTCAGTACTTAAATGTATAATTACACTGTAACAAGGACACCTTAAAATAAAATGTAACCCAAATATAATTTTTGTGTTCCCATTTGCGCCAAAAGCAAAAGAACAAATCCATGATAGTGTTTCTATGCAAAAGAGGAAAAAATATAGAGAGATCGATTACATTAGGCAGAAAAGAGAAGGATGTCAAATGGGCCGTCATTTCCTCTGCCGGTGTATTAGAAACCCTCATGCAGTAGCATTAACTAGTATTATGTAATTTAATGCCATACAACACAAAATGTAGTGTTATCAATGCGCATTTTTTAAAGTGCCCCTATTATGGATTTTTGAAAATGACCTTTCATGCAGTGTGTAACACAGCTCTAAGTGAATGAAAACATCCTGCAAAGTTTTAAATCTGAAAGTATGCCGTGTATAAAGTTATTGTCTTTTAAAAGAAAGAGTCGACTCTGAATCATTGAAACTATTCGTTTTTAAAATGAATCCCAAGCCGTTTCATGATGACTTCAACATGAAACATTAGCATATTGCCTGGCCACTTGTTGGTCTTTTTGCATTGGTCTGAATGAAAATGCAGATTCATTCTTTGCCACTAGGTGCCGCTTTTTTAACCAAAATATGAACCATTCATTACCCATAATAGGGGCACTTTAAATGAAAATGTAAAACAAAAAACTTTGCCAGATTTACAATATTAGTTGTTGAATGTGGAAACGCATTGTCATATTTTGTTAAAAGTGTTCATAGTGATGTGATGCTCAAACTGTACATCAGGCATGAGGTATACAAACGTAATACTGTAGATGGTAATTCTACCACAATGTAGATAATGGCATAATTTGACCGCAATTACAAGCAGGTTCTTTCATGTATAAGTATAGTAATCTTTCAGAAGGCATTAAAAGCCTTTTCCACTAGTAATAATCGCGCTTAATAGTGGAAAACATTTGGGGATGTGAACCCGCTATAGCTGTACCATGAAAGGAGATTTTATATATATATTCTACTAAAAAAGCAATGAGTTCACTTTTCTTTTTGCCTCGTCTTTATTACAACCTCCCTGTCTCTAGTTCTTTATAGCCGTATTACTGCTCGGCTGCCCTGGTTTCTATCTCTCTCCTTCTTTGTCTGTTTCTTGCCCTTTTTTCTAAAGTGTCTGCTAGAACCTCGCCCCATATAACTCCGCCCACCCCTTTATGCTAATGACCAGATAATTAACTCACATGTTATCAGGCTAATTAATAGTCCACATGCAAATGGAGGGATAAATAACCTCATAATATGCTCCATCACACTTGTTGCAGCATACTCCTATACAGTCAGGAAATTATACATAATTTATGCTAATTGCACTGAAGATTTCCTCCCAATATCTCTGTCCTGCTTTGACATGACACTTGCCTTGAATATTATCAGTAATTGGGATTAATGATAATACGTATGAAACGTATAAGAATAATGAAGACTTTACGACTGAATATGAATATTAGATGA